CATCTAGTACAGTTTTAAGAGATTAATCAATCTGAGATAACATACCTATGCGACCAATCTTCATGCCTGTACGTGCAAGGGCTCTAAGTGCAGACTGGGCACCAGGACCAGGGGTCTTAGTTTTGTTCCCTCCAGTTGCCCTGAGCTTAATATGAAGAGCATTAATTCCAAGTTCCTGCAAGTTCCAAGCTTCGACTAGTCAAAGTAAATCCAAACATTTCATATGTTGCATCTACTTGTAAAATACACATAGAAATCTTTCTCAAAATGATAAGTTCAAACTCAGATAGCAAGGCACCAATTTAAAAGGAAAGAACCCAAACCTTGCACCGTTGAGCAACATCTTGTGCTGCAAGCATAGCTGCATATGGAGATGATTCATCTCTATCGGCTTTCACCTTCATACCACCTGCAATCCCACAGCAAAGGTGACAAAACCAATAACTAAAAAACAATCTCAACTTTCTGCAGGCCTTCAGTAATTCAGAGACTTAAAAGGTAACATTTAATCTAAATGGGTAGTTCCAAAATATGAGTTATCGCTACACCAGGTTAAAAACAATAAAATTCATAAAAAAACCCAATTAGGCATTTTAATAAAGATTCATCATTAGCTGATTTATTCCTTTAGAAAGCAATCAATGGTTTGGCAATTGGCACAATAAGAATACCAATACAGCCTTCCTGTTTGCAGGAAAACAAAAATCATCACATCAATAAGCTTCAAATGTAAATAACATAAGTTGAAAATAAATAAAATAGTATTTTTATTTCTGAAAACAAATATGAACTGGAAGCAGGGCACCTGGTCTCTAAGGTGTTTTAGCATCACTAGAGCATTTAGACACCAAATTACCCATTATTAAGTGAGATTCATCTATTGTTTAAATCACTCCGGCCTCATGTGAGGCTTTCGTAAACGCCTTCAAAAAATGACTACACATTCATAACTGCTATCCATTTATTATCCACATATTTCGTGGGACCCACTACTATTCCTCCTTGAAAATGACTTATAATTCTAGGTGAAGTATACTATTTGATTCATCCTTTGACCCCAAAAACATAATTGATTACATATTTAATTAGCTACTAAAGCAGAAGGATCATAATAATCTCTAATAAACTTTAGTAGCCATGAACATCAAAGCAATAATCAGTACCTGTAATACGGACCATGGTCTCTCTTCCTGATAAATCAGTCACATGCTGCAAGAGAAACTCCAAAACAATTAACAATATATATCTAACCGTTCGTCTTTACCCATACTCTGCAAATGTGCATAACAAACACGAGACAGAAACAAAAACTGTAAAACTCACAATAAAGGTATCATTGAACGAGGCAAAGACGTGAGCCACGCCAAAAACAAGCTCCCCATCCCTGGTAGCGGGTCCAAGGGTAACATTCTCTTCCTTAGGCTCTCTGGTCTTTCTCTTCGACTATTGACCAGAAATACAATGATAAACAAGACAGGAATTAATGGGCACATCCACACCATTATTCACATTGCAAAGAATTAAAAAAAAAAAAATAATGGGCACATCCACACCATTATTCACATTGCAAAGAATTAAAAAAAAAAGTGCACTGATTTAAATTATTTAGCCAAAACATCTTTTTTCAACGAACTTACCAACCATTTGAGGAACAATCAAACTTATTTCGGCCAATTTTCACATTATTTTACTAAACAAACAATCAAAAATACCATCGAACACATCCAAATCAAGTGCCCAATGAAATGGCTATTCTATCAGCATTATAAGCAAATCCGTAATACTATCAAAATGTGATTATGCGAAAGGATAAAAACGTGTGGGAATCGGACGGCGACGGTCTTACCATGGCCTTGATTAAATCAGCAACTGCGTAATGGGCTGAAGCCGCCTTTTGAAACTCAGAAAGCTAGTGGTGGAAGCCGGTGATGGATAATGAAACCGTTAAGCTGAGTTTTATATGTCTAGGGTTTGATCCGAGGAGCAAAACACGTGTACCCAGAATGCCCTTGTGGTATTCTTTCAATTACGTTGACCCGTATTATTAATTTTTATAAATTAAGAGCCTGTTTGGAAGGGATTTTTAAGGGAAGAATTGATTTTAAATAGTGAAATGATAGGATATGTATGGTTAAAAAAGAAAAAAAATTATTGATGTGATGAAAAATATTATTTTATAAATTAAGAGTTTGTTTGGGAGGGATTTTTGGGGGAAGAATTGATTTTAAATAGTGAAATGATGGGATATGTATGGTTGAAAAAGAAGAAAAAATTATAGATGTGATGAAAAATATTATTTTATTGAAAAATGTGTGATTGAAATTGAGAATTGATTTACTGTAGAATTTGAGAATAAAAAACAAACTGGCCCTAAGTGCCTATTTGGAATTGGATTAAAAAGTTTTTTAAAAAGTAGCAATTAATTTTAACTACACAATTTATTAGATTCACAACTTTTATCAACTTTTCACCATTTATTTTATTAAATTTTATCAAAATGTACTAAATTTCTTAT